CTTGGGCCAGTGAAGCAACGTCCTCCACAACTAGACCGAAGGACAAGACAACAGCAACTTGTCTGTTCCCCTTTCCCTGATTCCCCAGCGCTGTTCCCCTCCCCCAATTCCCTAATAAAATCTTTACAAAAAAAAAGAAAATAATACATGAAACAACTGTATCATTAATTCAATAATGTTAGAAATGACAACAATATAAGTAAGAGTAGTAGTTTTTTTGATATGTGGATTTCTCCTGCATATAAAAGACACATTTTATAACAAAGCCCACTGCTTTGGCATCTGTGTTTGTTGGAATATATATTGCATCGTCCTTAGCAAGATAGTAATAGCACTTAATGAAATGAATCCTGTAATGAGGACTTACTGGGAAGTGTCAAGATTGTCCAGCTCGGTGGCTGCTCACTGGCTCTTACTTTTCAGGCAAGGAAAACTAAGGTTTAGCGGGGTCCTATAGTTAGCAATTTATCTCCAAACTCATTTCTTGTCTCTTTGTTTTTTGCTGTCGTTCAGATTTTGCTGTTAACGTTTTCCTTGCCTAAAATGTGAGTATCTAACTAATTGATCTATCTCTTTCACCTCTGATATTACCAGGAAGCTGTTTTCCCAGGCGAGTTGAGGGTGAACAGTGAAGTACCGCCGCCCTGTTTACCCATCATTCCCAGACAGATTAGTGAAATAAAAGTGCCAGAAGATGACTGGGGGCCATCGTGGGAATGATGATAGGCTTGAAACCCACAAATGGAGTGGCTTTCCTCTATATCACAGCGAGTTCATAAACCTGGGAAGTTATAAAGCTGGTAAGATCCTAGAGCTTCATAAGCAACCCCTTTCTCTCATTTTCCACAGGTGGGATCATTGAGGCTCAGAAACAGAACCGAAGACAGAATCCAGTCACCACGTTCTCAGTCTAGGACTCTCTTTCATTCTTCTACTGGGCATTCATCAGAGGGAAGATATTTTTCCTCAATTGGTGAGTCCTACACAGAAAAGAAGACTTTTCCCTTTTATAATCAATGTACATGTTTTAATGAGTTTTAAAATAATCAGTGATTTCCATTAAAAACATAGGCACTAATAACCAGGATGGACTAAGAACTAGACAAGAATTGAAATGTTCTTTCTTTTTCTCTTGAGTAGATTTCATTGGCAGTGGATGAAATATAATAATGCTAATAAAATGTGTGGCAAAGAAAAGGCAGGACTCAGCTCTTGGAAGGTGGCATGAAGAGAAATTGGAAGAAAATATGGAGTAATGATGACTTCCGATTGCCAGTAATTGTATTGCTTTCTTCTTTCTCCTTTGGCTTAGAGGAAGGTGTTTTTTAAAATTGAAAGACCGAAATGAAAATGTCAATGAACAGTGTTCTGGGCATTTGCGGGGTAAGAAAGTAATATCATTGAGTGGCTCCTGTTCACCTCTGGGCAGGGTGCTTCTTCTGTGGTCTTTCTTTATTTCCATGACAACCCTTTGAGGTAGAAGAGGTTAACTTTGCTTAGGCAAAGGGTGTGCTGCACCTGTGTCTTAAAGGGCCTGCTAGAGCTCCACTGGGATCTGAGTTTGAATCCTGTTGCAGACTCAGAAATGGGAATGGTGAGCAGGTAAGGTAAGCTTTCCCTTGTGTTTGGGATTTCCTCTGTATTTAGAGGGTAGACTAGAAAGAATGCCATGTTCTAGAAAAGAAGGGTGGTGAAAAGAATGAATGGTGTAGATCCCCTAGGCTTTAGGGAGACTTGAGGAAATAGCTGGAGAATTCTGGGAAAGGCTTCTATTTAGAATTCTAGTTCTGTGGTCTCTCTCTCCAGGGCCAGTCCATAAGTGTCCCAAGCCGTTGCTTTATACTGAAAAAATAATATGCCTTGCCATGTTTGTGATGTAGCTTTTCACAATGGAGCCAGTGCTGTTGTGATTGATCAAACCTAACTTCAATTAAAAGTGTGACTGAGTTTATAGCTACATTTTGTCGCCTCTTCTTTTTCTTTATCAATGTATCTTAAAAGACCAACTGACTTTCTGTGCACTTATGGATCTGCATAAGATAAAAGGCTAGAACTAAATTGAATATGAAGCCTTGTACTTGCATTAAAAAAAAAAAAAAAAAAGATCCAGTGTGGAATGACAGAAGGGAGAGAGTTCCTCAACAGGAGTGAGATGGAAGAGATGCAGAAGTTTTTGTTGCCTGTAAGCTCATTGTGAGCCCACAATAGCTTTTGTCTTCTAAAACACTGATGTGGACTTAGGCTGAATTAAATAGAGTATATTATCTAGAACAAAGTTGGGGGCTGGATGGGGTTGGTGGGGGAGGCGCTGACCAGAAAGTCCCTAAGTAAGGCGGGCTTCAGGCCCAGTTTGAGCAGGGCTTGGCTGCACCTCTGCTGTGCTCCTTGCTCTGTCCTCTTCTGTGTGTTGACTTCATCCTCAGGCTGTTTTGCCTTGTGGTCATGAGATGGCTGCCTGCTGGAACCTGGGCCACTGGGGAAAGAGAGCCCCGTTTGCCATATCCTCATAGACTTGGGTAACTGTGTACTTCTTATCAGTCACTGAGGCTGTGAGGAGGACGCTGGGCTAACTGGCATGTGTGAACCAGGGCTCTCTGAATTTTGGAACATCCCACCCTCATGGCAGCCTCACAGTAGACAGGCGGTGGTCCCTCAGAAGAATATCTGGGTGCTGTTAGGAAGGGGGAGAGGACTGAAGCTGTGTGACCGACCAGGAACCTTTTAACCCTCCTGTCGGCGCTCCCCTAGAGTGGCCCAGATTTTAGTCCTCATCCTCATCCTCTGAAAGTGACTCGCCATATGAGGATGCTAAGAGGACCGGAAATGATGTCCCACAAGGACTGTGATAGGAATGGGCCCCAGAGAAGACGGGATGCAGGGCATACATGATTATGGACTTTAAGACCAGAAAACCCCATCAGAAGAGGGACAGTGTCTCTTGTTCATGAGTGTTTCCCCAGAGTATAGTTGGATGTCTGGCACATGATAAGGGCAGAGTGCATTTTCATGTATAAAAAGAAAAACCCAAAGTGAGTGTACCTTTCCCTGAGGGTGTTCCATTAGGCACTGGCCAATTCTCTGTTGGAGCATTTTAGGAATTCTAGCTCAGATGAGGCTGAACTGCATGGTTTTATGAGAGTGAAACAAATGACTGGACAGAAAGAGGCTTTTGGGACCAATATGGCTTAAGAAGTTTGTGAGTTCATAAAAAGGCAGCGGGATAGGATATCAGAAGGCCTGCCAATTATTAGATGTGCAACCCTAGAAAAATACGATCTCTCTGCCTTCATTTCTCTGATCTGAGAAATAGGAATAATAATCATTGTCCTGCCTACCTCTCATGTTTGTTTAGAGCATTTAGGGTGATAGGTGCCAACCTGTTTTGCAAACTGTAAAGTGTGGTCAATGCATGATAGGTTATTACAGTTGTTTCAGTCTTTAAAGATCTACCTTGACTACACAGAAAAATAAGACTATCTAAAGTGCTCTCCCCAGGCATGTGCTTGGTGCATAGTATATGCTCAGCGTATGTCCTTCCTCCCAGCTTTGCACCCCCATCATTTCCAGGATTGGATGGGCACCAATTTGTTCTAAGTCTTGGAAAGGAGCTAGATCTGGAATCTTGCTTAATGATGGAGGTTGACGTTGATTGGAAACAGTGTATTATTATTACTTGCCATATTTATTTTTGCTCTAGGCAGCAGGAGGTGGAGAGAGGTAGATAGAGAAGACTGTGTCAGTGCTTGAGAAATCCCCTAGAAGCTGCAGTCTAGCCATTTGGCTCTTGCTTTGTTTGATTAGATAATCACACCTTCTGCTCCAGGAGTGACTGGCCCAGTGGGAGTCAGGAAGGAAATCATTTCCCTCTGTTGATACTAGTGTGCAATTGTTGGTGATAGCCAACGGCTTTCAGTTTTAATATTTCCTCTTTGGTCCTCAGAAGAATCAGGTATTAGTCTCTGCCGGAAGCAAAGCATTGGTTACTTCCTCTTAACTTGCAGAGGTGAATGTCTTGGTTCCCAACAAATACTTGGTCAGGTGGTTTCTGGGCATGTGTGACCATCTGCTTAGTCAGCTTTCATTGCTTCTATGTTATTGCTTCAAAAATTACAAAAGGATTTGCTGGGTCAGTGTAGGGACCTCATCCAGCCTCCTGAGGCTCTGTGGCTCTTCTGTCATCCAAGGATGTCTTATAGGAGGTGTTTGCTGTCCATGCAAATAAAAGGGAGAGCTCTCTCTCTCTCTCTCTCTCTCTCTCTCTCTCTCTCTCTCTCTCTCTCTCTCTCTCTTTCTCTCTTTATTGTTTCCTGCCTCCTAATTCCATAGTCTTCTGTTTTCTGACCTGCGCACAGGGGAGATACCTCTACCTTGGCGAAGGCCGTCCTCGGAGGTCACAGGAATTCCCAGGTTTCCCCTCATTGGGTTACTGCAGAGTGGAAGAAGTTTGATGGCGAATGGATGGAGAGCCTCATGAGTCCTTTGTAGATTGCTGCCAAGCATCTACCCCGGGCTCACAGAGAGTGTGCCTGTTCCCTGATCTGACCCTAGCATTGGCTTGGAAGACAGTGAACTGCATGATCTTTAGTACACCACAGTGACTTAGGCACAGCCCCTGACCTTGAGAAGCGTATAGTCCAGTTGGAGAGAAAAGACATACACATGAGAATGGAATATATGTTAGAAAAGTATGGTTTACAACACACATTCGTTCATCACCAGATATGTTTCAGGCCTCCCATTAGGTGCTTGGGAAATCAACGTAAGTCATTGACAGCTTCATATCTCATGGGGCTTAGATGAAAGGTCAGGAGAGTAGAAAGAATTGGGAACATTGGGAAAGGTTTCCAGGAAGCGGGGATCTGATCTCAGAACTTCTCAGTGAGCCGCCAAGTCTTATGACACAAGCCCAGGGAGTTGGCAGGGTGGGCCTGCGGCCATAGCTTGGTTTACTAGGGCTGAACAGGCTCTTAAGAGTGGTTGTAGCTGATAGCAGAATACAGCTGGGCAGGTAAGGAGTCTCTCACCTTGCATGTGTGGTTCAGTCTCCAGTTCATTCTCATCAATGTACTGTAGCTAGAAGTGTCATGTTGATTTTAAACTGCACTGACATTTCCATGCCCATCTTTGTATAGTCAGAGCATGCTTGAATATATGTCACCAAACTAGAAAGCATCTATGCATTCTGGGGCACAAAGGGTCCTTTTGAGAGTTCCTGATAGCGAATTTCTTAGAGTCTACTCCCCAGGTCTCATGAAAAGTGGTAGAGTTGGAAGGGTCATTAAAACAATCTCAAGGTTGGATGCTATCTTCATTATCTATAGCTGTGTAACAAATTACCCCAAATTTAACACCTTAAAACACCACACGCATTTATTATCTCACAGTTTCTGTGAGTTAGGGATAGGGAGCGGCTTAGACGGTGGCCTCAAGGTCTCTCCTGAGGTTGCAGTCTGGGTGCCTGCTGGGTCTGCGTTCTCCTTCGAAGGCTCCGTGGGGGAGAATACATAGCCAGATCACTCACATGGTTGTGGGCAGGATTCACTTACTCACAGGGTGTTGGACTTAGGACCTCGGTTCCTTGCTGACTATTGGCTAGAGGCCACCCCCAGTTCCTTGCCATGTGGGCCTCTCCATAGAGCAGCTCACAATGTGGCAACTGGCTTCCTTCGGAGCGCGTGAGCAAGAGAGAGTGCCAGAGCAAGCCACAGCCTTTTGTAACCTAATCCTGGACGTGACACACACCGTTCCCCCTGACTCATTCTATTGGCTACGAGCAAGTCACTAAATCCAGCCCATGCTCAAGGAGAGGGATTGCATGAGGGCATGGATACAGCAGGGTGGAGTTCCAGGAGACCAGCTTAGGGGCTGCCTAGGTTACATGGCATGTGCCAAGGTGGGAGTAGGAATCCCATGCAGCCACTGAATAAACTCAGCACACCTCTTTGTTTTTTTTCTTTTTAATTGTTTTTTATTGTGAAATACACATTTCTTAGAATTAGTTTCAGCTGTACAACACAGTGCAATAGTTATACTTTTTACCCCTCGAGGTGACAACTCCCCTCCCCCAATTTGCCGCCCCACTTCCCCCTCAATATCGTACATATCTATTACAATTCCCTTGACTCCACTCCCACACTATACTCCACGTCCCATGTATATATATATATATATATATATATATATATATATATATATATTCACTTATAGTTGACTTATAATATTATACAACATCAGCTTCATCAGCACACCTCTTTGAATCAATTTTACTTGAAGAC